AGAGTCAGAGAGAAATCTGAAGATGCCACACTGCTGGCTTTGAAGATGGAAGAAATACCACAGGCAAAGAATATAGGCAGCCTCTCAAATCTGGAAAAGGCAAAGAAATGGATTCCCCTGAGAGCCTCGAGAAGGAACACAGCTCAGCCAATACCCTGACTGTACCCCAGTGAGACTCAGGACAGACTTCTGACTTCCAGGACTGTAAAACAGTAAATCTGTGTGGTTGAAGCCACCAAGTTTGTGGCTAGTTGTTACAGCATCAATAGGAAACGAATACACTCTCCATTCACATTATCTAAATGCCCCGAGTCTTTAACGAGGCTCTGGGTGGGAATCATGGAAAGGAGCTGAGTTCTGCAGGCAGGTCAGTGCAGGTGGAACAGGGACTCCACGTGGGAAGGCGAGATGATCTATTGCCTAAACCAATCCATAGGAAGCAGAAACTAGGCCCTAGAGTTAATCATGGCAGTGTAATGCACCCACCTCTACCATCTCATGGAATTTTCAGAAATCTCAAAAGACAGCACTGAATGCTCCCACAGATTTGGAATAGAGAATTAAACCAATCTTATGCAAATCTTAGGTGTCTTGGATTTACATTGAGAAGGAAGCCAAGCAGTACCCATCAGCTTTTGATTTGACATGTGCAACAGGATGTTCAATGGAACACTTTCTCTTTCTTATGAAATTTTATTTTTTTGTCTTTAAATAGTGATATGCTTACATGTTTAAAATCAAAACAAAATAAGAAGATAAACACTTAACAGACTCTCGCTTGCTCCATTCGTAACCATTTTCATTAATTCATCATTATTGTTCAAGTGTTTCTTTATGGAAAATTGAATATTCTCATTCCCCACTCTTTCTCACATAAAAGACAGCAGACTATGTACACTATTCCCCACCTTGTTTCTCTCATTAAAACAATACAGTTCAAAGACCTCTCCATATCCGTGCACAGAGTCCTTCCTCATTCCTTTTTTACAACTCAGCCTATCCCACTGTGTGCAAAGAAGTATCAGAGTTCATTTAACCAGTTTCCTCCTGAGAGGCACTGGGGTTGTTGCTAAGCCTTTGCTACTATAAACAAAGTCACAATGAACAACCCTGTCATGTGTCATTTTGAACACGTACCGGTGAACCCATAAGGCAGCTCCCAGAAGCGGGAGTGCTGGGTTAAGGGACAAAGGCAATGTAAATATCGCCAGATTTCCCGCCACAGAGGTCGCACGGTTCCGTGCTCTCACTAACGACGTGTGAGTGCCTGCTACTCCACAGCCTCCAAAGACAGTGTGTTGTTAAGTCTCCGGATTTCCCCCAACTTGATAGGTGACAAATGACCTCTCAGTAATTTGCATTTTTCTTAAAAGTCAAGTCAAGCATATTTTCTTGTGTTTCGGAGCCACTTGCATTTCTTTTTCTGTGAACTATATTTTCTTTTCCTTTGGCTCCAAATTGAACACCTTCTGTTTTGACCAAAGTTCCAAAAAGCTGAAAATAATAGGTTGCAAGTACTCCCATATTCTAAAATAAGGATTTCCAAATGGCCTTGTGACCCTTAGCCCAATACCCAAGAAACTGGTTTAAAATTGAAAAAGTCAAAAGAAAGTAGTCCTTTGGGAAAGCTGATGGCAAGCTGTTTATTTTAAATCCCCCACCATGATGGTAGGGAGTAAGGGGACCTTCCTCAGTCCGTGCCTGGAAAAAGGAGCTTCAGGGGGACCTCCACTCCCTTGAATTCATGTCCCCTAAAACTTCAGAGGACACAGTGGCCTGGTATCTGATTTCAAGGATAAGAAACCCGAAGGTCAAGAAGCTGATAAAAAAGTGGAAACCACATTGGAAAGTACTGGAAGCTACACTTCCACCGTGGAGGACATAGGGTCTAACGGGTAAGGAGACTAAAGTCTGTAGCTGGAGCTATCTGTGACGGTGGGGCAGTCCCTCATTTGGCACGGCAAAGATCTGAGAGTTTCCCTGGGTCAAGGAGACACCCAGAAAAGTAACTGAGTTGGAGGAGCCATCGTGATGTGACTTCTCCCCAAAAGGCAGCTCGCCCGAGCAAGGGGACGCTAACAGTGCCAGCAGTAAGAGGGCATGGGGTGCGCTCTCAGAGGCAGGAGCTGAAATACTGACTTGGGAGTTCAGGATGACAAGACATAAAGTATCTGGCCATACCCAACAAAAAATAAGCATGAATTAATTAACTTGTAAGTTGAATATTATAACACTCTAGAGAGGGACACACATAAAAACGAAAGGGAGACACATACTACATTCTGCGAGAGGAGCCCTCTTTCTTTAACACATTCCCAAGGAAAAAGTATGAAGATTTGGGGTGGGGGGCAGGGAGCGTGACCAAATAATTCTTTAGTTTATGTATCATAAACATGTATACATGAATAAGTATATCATAAAACCTGAGAATACTCAGAATTAACAGAAAAAGAGTAGTAACTGACTTTTACTTGATATTAAAAAAAAAACTATTGTAAACTTACAGCAGGTGGTACTGGCACAGAAATAGGTCAACAGAGCAAAAGAGAAAGTTCAGACACAGACTGTAGTCTGTGATTCAGTATACAACTCAAATCTCTACGGGGGAAAATTTCAGTTAAGGGCTATCAATAGAACTGGCTAAACCATTTAGTAACAATAAAAAGACACCCCCACCTCGCTCCTCATACTAACATAAATTTCAGATGGATTCAAGATTTAAATGTTGGTTTTTTTTTAACTGCTGAATTATAGTTATTACCTTGAGACTGGAAGGTCCTTCTCAGCATGGCACCAAAGACAAAATACATGAGGAAAAAGACTGATACATTTGACTACACAAATTGAAAGCTTCTGTGTGGCGATGTATGGCACAAAGTCAAAATGGAAATGACAAAGCAGGAACTTTGTTTACAAAATATGTGACAGCTAAGAGTGAAAATGACTATAACACAAAGAGCTTTTTCGAATCAATATAAGGCAAGCCAAGTACTGCAGGGGAAAAAAGGCAGTTCACCGAAACAAAATTACACGTGACCAATCAACGTGCAAAATAGTTAGAGAAATGCAAACACAACACTGAAAGGTCATTTTTCACCGACCAGATTAATCAAGATTAGAGAGATATCCATGAGACCCAGCAGTGCTGAGGCTTCCTGCCAACGAGAGTGTAAGCTGGTATGAACATTCTATGACACTCCTCTGACAACATGGAGTAAACCTCAAATGTATATAGTTTTCACTCCAGTAACTTCAAATCTAGGAATTTAGTCTAAGTGATACTTGCTTACAATTATAAAGGCATGTATAAAAGCACTAAACATCTGGAAACACTCTAAATGCACAACGCACAGTTATGCGTGTTGGGGAAATAAACTGTGGTACAAACTTCCAGTGCCGTCCCTACTGATGAGAAAAAATGTGTCCAAGATGTGTTGATAAATGAAAGAAGCATATTACAGACTACATGCCTAGTCTGACCCCGTTTTGGTAACCCTGAGATGTGCCCAAAAAATATGGATATGGAAACACAACACACACACACATCACCAACATGGCTAGTTCATACTCTTTCTCTCTCTGAAACAATGGGCATACCCTATTTTTTTTTCAACTGATTTGCCTCGCTGCATCACCTGCCCACAAATGGGCACAGAAAAAGCCACACTCTCTCTCCTCTCCAAGATCAGGCACCTGAGTTTACCCAACAACAGCTGGGATAGGCAAAAGGTCCTTGAAACACTGTTTGATTCACAACTACCACTGGCTTTCTCTTCAGTGAATGGAATGGGGAAAAAAAAGGTGTAGAAAATCAGAGCATGAGATTAGCAATAAAAAGGGAGCACTGAGAATCCTTGTTTACTTCCTTTAAAATCAATTTAAATATTAACTTTATGTCCAGCTACTGTGGAATTTCAAGATAACCACTTCTGCTCTGGTCTCACTCTTAAGGCCCAGTTGCAATTTTAGGTCCTGAGTCATGGATGGACTATTACCTACTTCCCCTAGTCAATCTCCATCTCTTTGGTTGTTTGTGGCTCCTTCTAGAGGTGACAGAGGGAGGCACCTACAGTGAAAAGACAAACATAAAAGGACACGGTGCTGTAATAGTAAAGGCAATGCTTTAATACAGATACTGTTATATATGTATTTATGTGTGTTTGGAAGTGTAAAGGCCTGACTCTCCCAAGAACCAGAGGGTCCTGTCAAAGCTCAGGAATGAGAACCAGGCTTGTAGGCCCCAGAGCCATCTCTCTCCATCCTAAGATGGGGAAGCGATAACCCCTAACCTTCCCACCACAGAGAACCGCTGTGCGGATGGAATGAAAGAACGGGTATACACAAAAGCTATGGTGGAGATAAATAAAAACTAGAGAGCACCTGCACCCCAATGTTCATAGCAGCACTATTTACAACAGCCAAAACATGGAAACAGCCTAAATGTCCATCAACAGGTGAATGGTAAAGAAGATGTGGTATATTTATACAATGGAGTACTACTCAGCCATAAAAGCCGACAACATAACGCCATTTGCAGCAACATGGATGCTCCTGGAGAATGTCATTCTAAGTGAAGTAAGCCAGAAAGAGAAAGAAAAATACCATATGAGATCGCTCATATGTGGAATCTAAAAAACAAAACAAACAAACAAAAACAAAGCATAAATATAGGACAGAAATAGACTCACAGACAGAGAATACAGACTTGTGGTTGCCAGGGGGGTGGAGGGTGGGAAGGGA